GGTGCAAACTGCTGATCGGACCAGCCGTTAAAAGACTTCCCACAATTTGGATTAAAAAAAAAAAAAACCAACCTCTGCATTCTAAAAGTGCGTTTTCTAGGGAAACGTGGGCTCGACAAGCCAATTCGTGACGGGATAAGCTGTACTGGTGTCGGCACATCTGTGTCTGCAACGTTTAATAAATGTAGCTCATTTTCAAAAGGAAAAAGAAATTAAGCCTGCATAGGAAGTCGCGAAGCTAGTCGACAGCAAAATAAAAAATGCCAAGTTCAAGAAGAAATACGCAAAAAAGCAAAAAAGCCCAATGTCTCTGGAAACCAACCGCTGCGTTGTGAAGGGTTTGCTCGAGTAGTTTCGCCATCATCCGACGACTGACCCACAGCACTGATCTGCAAACTTATCCAGTTAATTTAACAACAGTCCCATTCATTTCGACGGACAAAAAATACAAAAAAGAAGAAGCCAATTATCGCAACAGGTAACAAAAAATGTTGAAACACAGCAATCAGATAAGAATTTTACCAGCAGAGGCTTTAAATTTATCCAGAAAGGAATTAAAATTATTTAAATGCAAAAAGTCCGCACGTTCGACATAACTTTAAACCTTCTCACACTTGAAGGGGAGTACTGTACTTCAAAGAGCGGGATGATTTAAGTATAATATGTTCAAATATTAAAGATTGTCACAAAAATCCGGGAATTCCCTTGCCTCCACCCTTGTAAACAGTTTAAGTCACCTGTGAGGCATCTCCGATAACGCCTCATAGGACGATTCTCAACAGTGTACCGGGCAAACGGGGAGACATAAATTACTACGCCTTGAAAATAAACGGAAGGCGGGACCATCGGGGGGAGAGTATAAAAAGGGGACAACTCAGGGGTCGGTTTTCCTCAGCACTCTTGGACTAGCAGTCTTCGTCAACACCACTGAGAGAAGCAATCATCAACAGTTCTCGCTTCGCTACGTGGTTCGATGGCTGCCTACAGGTAAGTGGTTTGCGTCCAGGATGGCATACTCAGGCGTCTCACGCTGGTCGTGCTATTAGATCAATACGGGATTCAGTGTTCGACAACCTATCGTTGAGTATATCTTCCATGATCACTGTACTGCTCAGTTACGACCGATCCACAAAGTATCTTTAGGTCAAGGTTCCAGCACCAAGGCCGAAGCAGTATATCTTCCGTCACAGTGACCTAAACATCGATAAAATAAGGAATGCCTACCCGACGACCAGTAGTTGTAACCGATGCTGTACTGGGTTTTTCACCTCTGTCCTCTAATACGCTCTGCTCAAGGTACTTTTCAGTTGCAACAAGAGTTACTGCCGATTCATCAGATGACATCGATCGGAACGAAGTTGGCATTTCTAAAAAAAATGCAATATAAAAGTCGAATAAAAATTTTATAATTTATCAAAACTTGCAAATTGTGTCTCAGAAACCTTTCCACTCGAAATAAACTTAGTCAAAATCAGTGTGCTGACCGAATTTGAAGATTAAATTGCAGTGCTGAACAGCCGCAAACCAAAACTGGAGTGATGCGTACAGACCTCGTAAATAAAAATTAAGGAAGTCGATCATCACTCTAAGTGTGTATACTGTCTTATAAGGCTGAACCAAGAATTTGTGCAAAACGAAGACAAATTATGCGGCCAAAAATATGAAAAAGCCTCTCAAAAAAAAAAAAAACTTCCATAAAAGTGTAACATAAAATATACAAAAAATCGAGTTAAAACCGTACCTTCTTTAGGCGTTTCATTTATTCGTGATACCGATGCTTCTGTTACTACGGGCACCACTGCCTCCGGAGAGCCACCGCGTTCCAAAATTGAAATTGTCGAGCTAATTAATAATAAAATTTAGTTGAGTTAATTAGCAATAAAATGAAGTCCAGTGACGACTAAAGCATGACAGAATGCCGAAAGCTGAGTGATGATTTTTCAAAAACAATAAATTTAGTTACCTGGTGGGTTTGACGGTTGCATCAGCAAGCAGAGCAGCGTCAAAATCGCTCGCCGCCGCCCTGTCAGTGCTTCCTTCTGGCGCTGCTCCCGCGGTTATTCCACTGGATTCACTGAGCAGTTGTTTGCCAATTCCCTGCTCTTTCCGAAGTCGGCCTATCTCCTGGTTCTTCTTGTTTAGCATGCTCAGGACTGAATTCAAGCGAAAAAGCAGCTCTTCTATAACAATCATATTCAAACATGAAAAGAGATGCACAATGCCCTGCTTCTCATTACAACAAAGGCGCAACCCGCTTCTTAAAGGAGGAGGGAAGAAGGCAATTTTCTAGTCCTCTGCTCCAAATGACACCTCTCTAGGAAGAGACTTCTTGCTCAAAACATTACTACTGCGTCCCATTTCTGTTAAATTATGATATTTGGGTTTCCCGACCAGTTTGATTAAGCAATCCAGAACAGCTTCAACCTAGTCGACAGCGCATCGGCTGCCGGTGCGAAGATGAATTTTTTTGCCATTAAAACAACTAAAACAAATACAAAAAAGATTTTATGGGCTCTTCATGAACATACAAATTACCTTTCGAATTGCTACTTTTTTCCAGTTCAGCAAGTTTACTTGTAGATTCAGCCAGTCTGCGCTGTGATTCCTCATATTGTTCAGTAAGCTCCTCCAACTGTTTTTTCAAGTTCTGAAATTCAAATTGTTCCAATCAAATACAAACACAACGGATACTTGCTTTTCTGAGGTAAACAGAAATTCATCTGAAATTCGTCTGACTGAATTCATCTGAAATTCACCTGACTTGCTGTCCAGAAAATGCAGGAATGGAATAAATGCATGCAAACCTTATTCTCTTCGTTAAGTCCCTCTGTTTGTTTGAATTGCGCAAGGTGAGCTGATGTTGCCTTGCTTGGTGAGCCACCTGCTGTTAGCTCAGTTGGTCGGCCTACCCTCGGCACCATTTTCTGTAATTTCGAGTTATTAAAAACCAAGCAAACTGAACAAAAAACATGACCTCATGAAAAGAAAACTCGGGTGATTCGAACGCTAAAATGAAAATTCCCCCAAGCTATAAATAAAGCTCTTCAAAAAGTCCAACAACTTTACTAATATCAGTTGACACTCGGTCGCTCAGCGTTTCAATGATATGTCTTCTGGTTGTCCCACAGATCAAGATGATGCAAAATTTGAATTCCAGCCCAATTAGTCGATATGGAGGGCCCGAAGAGAGTTTATACGCTTCGATGTTTTGTTATTTTGAGTTATGACCGCAACACAGGATTCAACAAATGAGGAATAACATATATTCAACCTGTTCTCTGTGCATTTCAATTTCGGCGCGTGCGGCGACCAATTCTCCTTTGAGCCTTGCAATCTCGGTTGCACTACCTTCGTCAAGAAATTTTTCCGCCAGCTGTGCTTGCACGGCTTCCAAATCCTTTTGAAGTGTTTGTGTCCTGACTTTGTACTGACGTGCAATTTGTCGGAGTTGCTCGAATTTAGCTGACTGCTCTTGGCGCTCTGCTTCACTTTTTTCAAGTTTCTTCTGTACAGCTGTGAATAATTCCCTGAAGACAATGGACGAATTTATACAGTTTTCGATGAAAAAAAAAGCACTAGACAAGTTGACATGGGATCATGAATTTCGGAGCAATTGCATGAAAGAAAATGGAAATAACGACAACTATGTTAAAAAGAGGTGAAAAGCGCAAGCTGTTAACTCACTTAGAAGGTGCTTCCTGTATTAATTTGTCCAGCTCTTTTTTTGCTGAATCTCGTTCGACAGTAGTTTCTCTCAGATTTCGTTTTAAAGTTTCGATTTCACCACTGAAATTATTTTTAAATCACTTTTTGTGCTCAGAAAAATCAGCTAGATTTCATTTGTGATTTAAAAAAATGGGAAGATTCATAATGACCAAAGCAAAGTATCAAAAAAACAAACGAAAGAGATAGCTAAGTACACCTCTACAGTGCAATTCGTCTGTTTTTTTTTTTTTTTT